GTTGAATAAAAGTGCAAGAGTGGGCATTCATATCTTATTCCTGATTTTAGAGGAAAAGCCTTCAACTTTTCACCATTGAGTATGATGTTAGCTGTGGACTTGTCATATATGGCCTTTATTATGTTGCGGTATGTTCCTTCTATACCCACTTGGTTGAGAGTTTTTATCATAAATGGATGTTGAATTTTGTCAAATGCTTTTTCTGTATCTATTGAGATAATCGTATGATTTTTATCCTTCATTTTGTTAATTTGGTGTATCACACTGACCGGTTTGCAGACATTGAACCATCCTTGCATTCCTGGAAAAGGCCCACTTAATCCATGGTATATGATCCTTTTAATGTATTGTTGAATTTGGTTTGTTAGCATTTTATTGAGGATTTTTGCATCTATGTTCAGCAGGGATAATGGCCAGTAATTCTCTTTTCTTGTCGCACCTTTGCCTGGTTTTGGTATCAGGGTAATGCTGACCTTGTAAAATTTGTTTATGAGTTCCCTGCTCTTCTATTTTTTTGGAAGAGTTTGAGAAGGATTTGTATTAATTCTTTGAATGTTTGGTAGAATTCACCAGTGAAGTCATCTGGTCCCAGACTTTGTTTGTTGGGGGGGGTTGATTATTGATTCAATCTCCTTACTAGTAATCAGTCTATTCAGATTTTCTATTTCATCATGATTCAGTCTTGGTAGGCTGTATGCTTCTAGGAATTTATCCATTTCTTCTAGGTTGTCCAATTTGTTAGTGTAAATTGTTCATAGTTCGGCTGTAACATCTCCTCTTTCATTTCTGATTTTATTTGGGTCCTCTTTTTCTCTTGGTGAATATAGCTATGTGCTTTCAATTTTGTTTATCTTTTCAAAGAACCAGCTCTTAGTTTCATTCATCTTTTCTATTGGCTTTTTAGTCTCTATTTCATTTATTTCTGCTCTAATCTTTGTTTTTCCTCCCTTCTACTACCTTTGGGCTTCATTTAGTCTTCATCTAGTTTCTTGAGGTGTAATTAGGTTTTTACTTGAGATTTTTCTTGTTTTTTTAAGATTTTATTTATTCATTTGAGAGAGACAGAGAGGATGAGCAGGGGGAAGGGCAGAAGGAGAGGGAGAGGGGGAGTAGAGGGAGAGAGAGAGGGGAAGCAGACTCCCCACTGAGCTGGGAGCCCAACATGGGGCGTGATCTCTGAACCCCAAGATCATGACCTGAGCCAAAATCAGATGCTAGACTGAGCCAGCCAGATGGCCCTCTTATTTCTTGAGGTAGGAATTTATCACTATAAACTTCCGTTTTAGAACTGCTTTTACTCTTAACTATAGAGAACAAACTGATGGGTTACTGAAGGGGAGGTGGGTGGGGGGATGGGCTAAATGGGTGATGGTTAAGGAGGACACTTGTGTGATGAGCATCGGGTGTTGTATGTTAGTGATGAATCACTAAATTCTATATCTGAAACTAATATTACACTGTATGCTAACTGAAATTTAAATAAAAACTTGGAAAATGGGGTGCCTGGGTGACTCAGTAGGTTAAGTAGCCAACTTTTTTTTTTTTTTTAAGTAGCCAACTCTGGATTTTGGTTTGGGTCATGATCCCAGGGTCGAGGGATCAAGCCCCACATTGGGCTCTGTGCTGAGCATGAAGTCTGCTTAAGATTCTCTCTCTCCCTCTCCTTTTGCCCCTCTCCCTGCATTTGCTTGCACTCTCTCTCTCAAAAAAAAAAAAGGAAAGAAAGGAAAAAATAACTGCTTTTGCTGCATCCATAAATTTCAGTATGTTACATTTCCATTTTCATTTGTTTCAAAGCATTTTTTTATTTCTCTTTTGATTTGTTTGTTGAACCACTGGTTATACAATAGCATGTTTTTAATCTCCACATGTTTGTGAATTTTCCAGTTTTCTTCATGTAATTAATTTCTAGTTTCATACCACTGTGGTCAGAAAAGTTGCTTGATATGATTCATTCCTCTTAAATGTCTTAGTACTTGTTTTGTGACATATGATTTATCTTGGAAAATGTTCCATGTATACTTAAAAAGAATGTATATTCTGTTGCTTTTGGATGGAACACTCTGTATATATTATATCTACTAAGTCCATCTGGTCTAACGCATCATTTAAGGCCAATGTTTCCTTATTGATTTTCTGTCTGGATGATCTACACATTATTGTAAGTTGGGTATTAATGTCCTCTACTAGTATTGTATTGTTATTTTTCCTTTATGTCTGTTAGTATTTGCTTTATACATTTAGATGCTTCTATATTGGGTACCTATTTATAAATGTTGTATCTTTTTATTGGATTGACCCCTTTATCATTATGTAACACCCTTCCTTGTGTTTTACAGTCTTTTGTTTTAAAGTCTATTTTGTCTGATAGAACTATAGCTATTCCAGCTTTCTTTTGGTTTCCATTTGCATGGAATATCTTCTTCCATCCCTTCACATTCAGTCTGTGTGTGTCCTTACATCTAAAGTGAGTCTTTTGCAGACAGCATATTTTTTTACCCATTCAGCCACTCTGTCTTTTGATTGGAGAATGTCGTCCATTTATATTTAAAGTGATTATTGATAGGTATGTGTTTATTGCCATTTTGTTCATTGTTTTCTGGCTGTTTTTACAGTTCCTCTCTGTTTCTTTCTTCTGTTGCCCTCTTCCTTGGTGGTGGGATGACTTTCTTTAGTGGTATGCTTACATTCCTTTCTATTTAACTTTTGTGTATTTACTATAGTTTTTGCTTTGTGATTACATTAGGCTTATCTGTGACAACTTATTTATATAACAGTTTAAGTTGATAACAATTTAATTTGATCCCATCCCTTTTTTACAAAGGACCATTTTATATAATCCCAGTCATATTGGATTAGATGTCACTCTACTCTGAATCTTAACTAATTTCATCTGCAATGACTCTATTTCCTAATAAAGTCACATTCCAAGGTACTGGGGTTAGGACTTCAATATATGAATTTGTTGGGGACACAATTCAACCCATAACACATCCATTTCTCTCTTGTGATTTTAAGATCACTAAACAACCGTCTGATTACTAGGATGGTTCCCCAAGGTACCCAGGATTTAGCAGTGAGAGTCCAGGAGAACATATATGAGTCTTTTGGTCACTAGAGATGAATGTCTCCATTGTAAAGTGGCATTCTGTTCTTTCAAGAGTCTCAAGTGAGCATGAATCAGTCTCTTGGAGCCTGGTCACTCTGGTTGTATTGACAATGTGACTTTTGGGGACTACACAATAGTGATGACCTCTCATTAGGCCCTTTTTGCAGAATTGGTTGACTTCTCTCTCTGACATTAATGTATCCTCTCTATAACTGCAATCTCTCTATAACTCTATCCATCTTAGAAGATTAAAAAAAAAAAACAGCTAGCAATGCTAGAAGATGTGCCTAGTGCACATCCTTCACCAGTCCTGTTTCTCACGGGGTTTCCGTAGTGTAGTGGTTATCACATTCGCCTGACACCAGTCCTGTTTCTCAGCAATCTCCACACCCAATCTATTTCTAAGGCTCTAGGCCTGACATCCTCAGAAATGAAGGCTGTCATACTGTGTGCCCTCATTAAAAAGGGAATAGAGGTACCTGCCTCACAGGTGGAGAATCCCAGATATTTTGCCACAGATAATCCATTCTTTCACCAGCCCCGTCTTCCCTGAACAACAGGTATTTTGAAAAGGAGTAAACTTCTGAAAGTTAGTACTGCAGACCAAGGTAGATAGAGCTATCAACCCAGGAAAATACCCACCTGCCTTTACTACACTCTCTGGCAGGATAGCCCCCAATACTTTTTGTAACTTGGAACCTCCACTGAGGAGAAGGAAGGTCTTGATTTCAACTTCAACAAATATTCTTGTTTGCATATCCTTTTCTGGTTCCATCAAATATCTTGCAAGTCCTATGTCCATGGAGAGAACCCAAGGCTAAGACTTAAGTGGAGGTTCTTTAGGGGCCCCAGACATTATCATAAACTAGGAAAACTGTTTTCTTATATTAGCTTAGATATTTTATCAATTAATCTCCTTGTTCTAGCTGTGGAAAAGGATATCATCAAATGGCCTTAAAATGGCTCAGGTATGGCTGGTTAAATATATGACATGAACTCTGTGGACCATTAGCACTAACTCTAAGTTTGAGAGTTTTAGATCCACTCCAGCTTTCTTTAAAACTCAAAACAGAGCAGCCAAAACTTGAGTGCAATAAGATTTCCAAGTCCAATTGATGCCAGATGCATTGAATACTAGGAGGCTACTCTTTAACACAGTATTTTTCAAATATCAATTTACTGGGTTGACATACTAATTTCATATCAATTTACTGGGTTGACATAAATTCACTAGGTCATGACTGGCATTTTTTAAATATAACAGTATAGGACAGTTATGCTGTATGCTTAAAATCAGTTATTTATTCTAAAATGTGTTTATATCAATTACATAAAAATAAAATATGAGTGCAAAAAAAGAAAACTCAAAACAAATAAAATTTAAAACCAGACATGAAAAATGACATAAAAATGAAGTTGAATGCTTTGAAAAAAGAAGATCACTAAAAAATAAATAACAAAATAAATAAGTCATAAAAACTGATGTCAAATTAGTTGCAAGCTAGAAAACTGTAAGAGATGAGGAAAGAAATTATAAAGGCTAAAAGAACTCCACAGTAATATTGTTTTACAAGTGCCTTAAGCTCTTTCTACCACTATAGAAAAGCAAAGGTTGGAAATCTTAAACCCAAAATATCAAGAGTGGGGCTTATATAAGAAAAACAAGGAGTATTTCCAATCAGCAGACCCACACAGTGAGTCTAACACCAAAAATTGGGGAATGAACATAAAATTACACGTTTTAAGTAAAAATAAAAAGTTTAAGGCTTAAATTGTCTTGTAAGTCTACACCATACATGTTAAAAGGACTCATATATTTTTAAACTTTGGCCATTCCTCAGAGTATGATGAAATAGAGTATCACCTATCAACAAAGGAAGGAATCACAAGGCATACCTTTAATGTACAAAAGAATGTAGTCAGATGACTAGAGTATAAGATAATATGATCAGAGCAAAGTACAGAAAAAAATAATAATCTCACATCAGGAAGGACTCACCATTTATGAGCTACAGATTTGCAATTAGCCCAGATAACTAGTTTTCTCTAATGCTTTCCTGCCTCCGCATTCTTGCTGCCCTCTTGCCCCACCAGAACTGGGTATACCTTCATATCCCACTGGCTGCTGTGTTTGCCTACTCAGGGACCTACCAAAGCCGCTAAGGTAATTCCCTATACGCCGTTGTTTATACACACATGTCCATCATCGAGACACCAAGCTCCTGGAAGATAAAGAACCAGGTCTTGTCTTGTCTTCCCAGCATCAGCCTGAGGCTTGGCACTTGGTTGGTATTCAGTAAAATTTTTTTTAAAGATTTTATTTATTTATTTGGGGCGGGGGGAGAGAGCACAGAGGGAGAGTGAGAGGGAGAAGCAGATTACCGCTGAGCAGGGAGCTCAACGTGGGGCTCGATCCCAGGACCCTGAGACCATGACCTGAGCCGAACGCAGACACTTAACGGACTGAGCCACCCAGGCGCCCCGGTATTTAGTAAACTTTTGTTGAATGAATGACTATGCACTCATAAGTCAAGGTGTTGTCCTAATTTTCAATAAAAATGGAAGGTAACTCAGTTTGAAGTAAATTGTAAATTTGGCAATTAAAAAAAGGGGGTTACAGTAATACAAGCAGGAGGGCACTGGTGCATTTTTCAGCTCAAAAAGAGAATCACTGGAAAGGTCAAAGTTCACTAGACTTCTACAGCTTGGTTGAAACAACCATTAAAACCATTCTACTCACGTTGCCTTGACTCTGGATTTAATATGAACCCTTCTTTGATTTTGGTTCCCTGTTTGAGATCTTGACATTTCAAAGGAAGTCCCCCTAAATAGTCAAGACAAGATTCTGGTCACTGAAAAGGAAATGTAGAGACATTTTACGTCTCTAGAGTAGAGACAACTGATAAGTTGATTTTCTAGTACAAATCAGAAAAGACTGGCGGGCCTGGGAAAACAACGGTGGAAAACTATTGCTTTATTCTTAGGCTTGTCCCTCCATCTCTAAATACCCGAAATATGGGGCGCCTGGGTGGCTCAGTTGGTTAAGCGACTGCCTTCGGCTCAGGTCATGATCCCAGAGTCCCGGGATCGAGTCCCACATCGGGCTCCCTGCTCAGCAGGGAGTCTGCTTCTCCCTCTGACCCTCTTCCCTCTCGTGCTCTCTATCTCTCATTCTCTCTCTCAAATAAATAAATAAAATCTTAAAATAAAATAAATACCCAAAATATGGTTTTTATTAGCTAAATTACATAAACAATTAAAGCACTTTTCCTGAATAACAGTGTAATACATACTGACTGTAGAAAAGCTGCAAAGGACTAAAAAGTATAAAGCAAGAGAAAAAAAAAACATACTCATAATCCTACTACACCAGGGCATCTACTCATTTGGCACATTCACTTTCAGTTGTCTTTTTTGCAGTTTTCTTTATATAGTTGAGATTACTATACATGATACCTTTTTATACGGTCTTAAACTAACAAGATAAGTTCTCATATTAGGTTTTCTTCTACTTACCCTGCCCCGTGAAGAGTTTTCCTTTTCCATAACTCCAAATTTTCTAGAAAAATCTCTCTCTAGATGATAAAATCAGTGAGACTTTATTAATCAATCAAAAATGTTTATTGAATACAAGCTATGTACAATGTATCAAACTGATATTGAGATAAACACACAGAAATTAAAAAGGGACTATGTTTGAAGAAATTAAAGAGCAGGCTGAAAAAACAAACCATCTGTACACAAACAAAACTTGTCAAGTAACCCCTGTTTAATTAGTTAGGTGATAACGGGGTACAGAAGGGGGGAATACCAAAGGTAGCTTAGGAGTAACTGGGCACTCTGGGCACTGACAGATAAGACTAGATAAACTCTACACGAATCCTTTCACTTAATCCCCCAGTGAACCTTGTGAGGTGGATACTACTATTTCTCCATTTTACAGCAATGGGAACTGCACTGCAAGGAAATACATAATTTTTTTAAAGATTTTATTTATTTTTCAACAGAGAGAGAGAGACAGCGAGAGAGGGAACCCAAGCAGGGGGAGTGGGAGAGGGAGAAGCAGGCTTCCCGCGGAGCAGGGAGCCCAATGTGGGACTCGATCCCAGGACTCTGGGATCATGACCTGAGCTGAAGGCAGACGCTTAACGACTGCACCACCCAGGCGCCCAAGGAAATACATAATTTGACTTAAATCATAAAGCTAATTAGTGGTGGAGCTGAGATTCAGCCAGTCTGTCTCCAGAGTTGGTTTCCTAACCCTGCCTTCTAGATGTCCAAAGGCTTAAAAGAGACTGAAGAGTCAAAGAGGGGGAAATGTCCAATCAAGTGGTAGCGGAAAGGAAAGGAGGAACTTGCAACCTATGGTTGAGAGTAGAGAATAGGCAAGAAGGGGTAAACAGATGCAATATACATCAGTATGTAATGATAAGCTTCCCAGGAGATTACCATGGGCAGGGCAGGAATGAAGGCAAGTTGTGTCTCTACCAGTCTTGTTTGTTTCTACCATTCCTTAAGATGCTCAGTACTGGGGCGCCTGGGTGGCTCACTCGGTGGGGCCTCTGCCTTTGGCTCAGGTCGTGATCTCTGGGTCCTGGGACAGAGTCCCGCATCGGGCTCCCTGCTCGGCGGGGAGCCTGCTTCTCCCTCTGCTCATGTGCTCTCCCTCCCTCTCTCTCTCAAATAAATATATATAAAAAAAAAAAGATGCTCAGGACTCGGGTCATTTTGGAAGACGGGGCTTCCCTGGGGACTTCCTGCCTCACCTTCAGGTAGCCTTGACCCTTCACCCCACTAATACCTAGAGGTCTGGGGAGATGAAGTTCTGTAACAAAGACCCTTCATCCTTCACGGACGCTCACTCCCGCTCACATACCTCGGTACACGCTCGCACTCACACACACCTTCTGCCTGGAATAGAGCCCCCCCCACCACGTCTTCCTCTGCAAGTTTCCAACATGGGGCCCACAGAAGCGAGGAGCTCACGTTCAGAACCGGGAGCGCCTGGGCCGGATGGGGGGGAAGGGCGGGGATCGGACAGGAGTCGCACAGGAACCCCGACCATCAGGCTCCCGCCCCTCAGATCCGAGCACCAGCAGTGCGAGGCGCTCTCGGCCCCCGCCTTCTACCCAAAACACAGCGTGGCCGCGCTCCACTCGTAAGCCCACGCTTAATTAATGGGCCGGAGCACAAGTGAAGCGGCCCCCGCGAGCCGCCGCGCCCTCCGCCAGCCGCCCCTCCTTCCGGGTTTCCGCGCGGACTTCCGCCGATCCCCGGGCCGCCCCCGGCCCCGGGCTGTGCCCCCAGCCTCCAGGGACGCGCGTGCCCAGCGGGGCGGCGGCCTGGCGGCGGGAGCCGAGCTCGAGTCCCGCGGGCAGCGCGGGAACCGGAGCTCGACGCCCCTTCCGACGTCAGGAACCGCTCCTCAGCCCCGTCGCACGCCTTCCCACGGCCCGGCTTTGGGCGGCGGGCGCGGGCGCGTCGCGGCCACCCTCTGCCCCGCCCCGGCAGCGGGCGCACCGCCCCGACAGCCCTTGCCTCGCCTCCTGCGGCCCCTCCTCGAGCCCCCTCCCTGTCCCCTTCCACCCTCTTCCCGCTCGGTTCTCTTCCCCTCTCTCCCGAACTCTGTCCCCTCCTCCTCCCCGCAGCGCTGGGCAGGGAAGGGGCCCCAGGAGAAGGAGCGGACCCCTACCTCCCCAGATTGCTGGAAGCTATGGAACTTGGGGCCCCGGCCGCGCAGCCCGCTGCGTCCCGGAGCTTCTGGACCCAGAGTCTGTAAACACAGCCAGTGACAGTCGCCCAGCAGGTTAAAGGCGCGGAGTTGCGGAGTTGGATTTCCAGGAGGCTCTTTTGGCAAATTAAGCTTTTCACACGGGTGGCTCCTTCCTTAGGACCCGGGGAGGTAAGGCAAGATTGCGTGCATCTCCTTAGAAGTGTTTGGACGCGGAAGGGGCTTAGTGGCCCTGAGGCGCGGTGGAGAGTGGGCAAGATTTTAGGTAAAAGAGCAAAAGTCAGACCCAGCTCGCCCGTGTCCGGCCCTCTACAAGGGGATCTAAGCCCCCTTGACTTTCCTTCCTGTGCCTTCCAGGCCCTTGGCTTGATAGAACCATTTTGAACGCCTTTCCTTGGTGGTCCCCAAGGCTTCACTGGAGAACATTAGAGCCAGTATTTCAGGTTGAGGGAAGGGGATTACAACATCAAATCTTAGAAATTTAGAGTCAACGTTCTGATTTGACCCAAAAAGCAGAACGATGTGCTCAAAAAATAAAATAAAAGTCAGATGGAAGTACAGAAAGATGGTCGGATCTAGAGTAAAAAGATTGGCTTAAATCTTGGCATTACCTCTAGCTAGTTTTAGGTCTTGAATAAGTCAGTGAAGCTCTTTGAGACCATTTCTTCTTCTATAAAATGGAATAATAATTCCTACCCTCGGTGTTGTAAGGAAAAACAGATAATGCATGACAGTGTAAACTATAAAATGTTATACAAATGTAAGCTAATATGTCTTCAGAGATTTCTGGCCTAACCCAAGGAGAAAAAGAAACAAGATAGCTTAAACTTGACTTCCAACAACACCACAATGAAAGCCACATTTCCCAACACTGTTTTAGCCATGCTTTGAAGGAGACCCCAGGGACCTGTGAGACTGTCACAAAATTTTTGCAAAATTGTCTTAACCACGATACTTGTATTTTACCATCATTAAAAAAAAAAACAGCTTGTCATTTAATACATCTGAGAAGAGGGACTGTTATGAATCAAAGACGGAGTGTCAAAATAGTGAAAAAGTAGATAAAGACTAGGAAATACTCAGTTAAACCAAATAAAACAGGTCCTGTGTTGTTTTACTACAGAATTCCTCGGAGCCTTGGGTATGCATACTCTGACTCCAAAAAGATTTCCCGGAATCAGCACATCAGGCTGATGGATCTGTAAAGAAATGCACTTGAACACCACGCCTGTCCTTTATTCACATCTTTATCACAGACAGACTGAACTAATCCATGCTTGGGATTTCTAAGCTTTAGAACCTGAGGCAAATCATTGCAATTTCCCCCTTCTTCATCTGTAGCCAAATGCTTGCAAAGAATTAAACCTCATAGATTCATTAACTGAGCTTTTATTGAGTGCCTGGGTGCCACGCCTAGCACAGGGCTATTGGTACACAAGCACTTCAAGCAAGTAAAAACTTCAGCCCTTGAGTTCCAATCACAGAAGGAGACAAACACAAATAATGAAGTGACAATGCAACTGGCCATTCACTTTGAACAGCTGTCAGTTGAGCAGAGGTCTGGTCTCAAACTCCAAAGCCTACTGAGAAGAGCCAGGGAATATAAAGGCGATGGGCTGGGACTACGGAACGGGAGAAGACAGGCCTGCTCTGCAGGCAGAACCACCATGAAGCATGCACTGATTGTTGATAGGGAGGACCGTGTTACTACATCTCCCAATCTTCCAAGAGAAGCCGGAAATCTGGATTCTGGGAAATCACCTCATTTCTAAATGATGTCAGCTAGTTAAGACTTTTAAAAACACTTGTAGGACCATCAAAACTCATTTCATGTACTGCCGTTGTGTAACTTCCGGTCTGCAGTGACCCATGTGACCAAAATTATTCAAAAGTGTGACAAGAACACAAGAAGTTTGAGAAACACTGCTTTGTAGCTACTATCAATAAAGGAAGTATAAGTGCCAGGTAATATTCAATCTTCATGACATGGAGAAATATTTATAATGGGCATAATAGGTGACGGTCTTATTACTGTTTTGATTGTAATAACCTATGGGAATAAGTCATCAGGATACTGTACCTCAGTGTATCCATCAAAAAACAACAACAAAAACTTGGCTTTACCTTGGTAGCAAAAACCTAAATTTTCCAAAACAAAGCAAATAAAATAGAAATGGTGAGGGGAACCTGCAGGTTTGCTGAATCCAAAATATTGTTTGATAATCCCATTCCTCTAGATTCTCAAAATACTTGAGTTTGGGGAGGAATTGTGGTACACACGTACTATATTTATATAATTACCAATTGTTTCAAAACAGCTACCCCGTACACTTTGCATTTGTTTTGCCAAACGTGTCACCCAACTATAGTTTTTTTGTTTGTTTTTTGAGGGCTGGAGTTGAAAACAAAGATGCTGAAGGGTTTCCTAGTTTGGCTAAGATTACCTCAAGGAGAAACAAATAGTTGATTAATTTGGTCTCCCCTATTTCACTGACTGCTATTTCTCACTCTTCATGGAATCCCCTCTCTCCTTCCTTGGGTTATTAAAAGTTAACCCTCCCCTTCCTTCTCTTCTTCCTGGAGAGGTTATTCATGCCCACAGCTTCTATTATCATATGGTCACTGGGACTCCCAAGTCTGTTGCTCAGGCCTAGCCCTCTATCCTGAATCTAGGTTAATGTGTCCACAGACCAGACATCTCTGAAAGGATCCCACAGGTCCCTCAAACTCATCATGTGAATAACAGAGGACGGGGCAGCTGGCTGGCTCAGTCAGGAGAGCATGCGACTCTCAATCTTGGGGTTGTGAGCTGAAGCCCCACGTTGGGTATAGGGATTACTTAAAAATAAAATCTTTAAAAAAATAAATAACCGAATACATCACCTTTACCCTAAAGGCCACTCTTCTTCCTCTATTCCTATCCTTGGTTATGATACCAGTTATCTATGCTAAAAACCCAGGGCTTATCATAAGCTCCTCTTGTTCCTACCCCCCACCCCCCAAATCAAGCCTGCCATCAAGTTGGATCTTAGCAATTTGTTATCTCCTCATCACCTTCACAAACTACTTGGTTTAGTTCACCTCTTATCTGGACTTTATTAGGATAAGGTTGAAAATACCTTGCCCTGCCAACAGGACCCTCTACAACTGACCCCTCTCTAGCCTCACTTGTCACTGCTTCACCCCTTGCATGTTATACTCCAGTAAAAACTATCAGTGTTGGGCTAATGTTGATGGGATCCAAATGTTTGCAACTCGGCATCTTTGTCAGCCTCAAGCCTTGACTCAGACCCCAGTTTCCTTACAGTGGGCAGTAAGCAAACCAGAGAGAAGTGCAGAAAGCCAAATCACCGGAACAGGCTCCAGGGGACCCCTCCTAAAATAGTGAGCCCCCACCACAGTGTCCTTGGGATGCCTTTACAGGTCCCCTTGCCCACCTCTGCCTAGTAGACCCTTGACTCATTGAACAACTTCACCCTCACTTTCCTCAGCCACCTTGCCTGTCATCCTCTTGGACCTTAGGAATGCTAATGTTTGCCAATAATGAACACACATGTATCCCCAAATGTTGCTGCCAGGGTCATTGCCTTATCTTGGAAAAAATTGTCCCAACTAAGAGGGCCCGGTTTTCTCCTACAGGCCCTTGTCCGTTCTGCTTCTGCTCCCAGCCAATCACAGGTGGATTTTTCTTCATAGGGAGGAGGGACCCCACCGAGCCATTGGCCCAAGTCAACGGACATTTCTCATCTTCATCAGAGTCCATGGCTCCATGGATAGTGTTGGTTAGGATGAGGCTAACTTGGGCATTCGTGGTTTTCAAAAATAAGTTTATTAAAACAAAAAAACGTAAATTAATAA